TCTCTCTCTCTCTCTCTCTCTCTCTCTCTGTTTAACAAGCATCTCGATGTTTTGCACTCCTCAATGTCCTACACAATGGATCTGTATCCAATGTGCCGATATCTTTCTCGGATTTTGTATCAACCCCTAATGCTACATGTAATAATGATAATTGCATATATACGCGTATATAGAGTTGATCCTTTCTCTGCAGCATGCTCTATACAACATAAGACACTGAGAAACATCCTCGGTTTAGCGGGAAGCATCTGCACAGTGTAGCGGACGGGTTTCACGCTCTTAATACTTTAACAAGACGACAAGATCTTTGCCGTTTATAGCCGGGTACCCATTCTCACCTGGGTGTAGTGAGAAAAATTCGTGTAAAGTAAAGTGCCTTCATAAGGACACAACGTCGGGGCCCCTAACGGGATTTGAACCAATTACCTTACTGCTGCGAGTCCGAGAGCTTAACCACTATACCACCAATTCCACACGTGTAGTTCAGAGAAGAGAACCCTGGCCAGGCGTTAAGACTGAGGTTGAACTCCACAAGTGTGGATTAGAATAGAGGGCCACATAAGTACAAATGATCTCATTGGCATGGGATTAAGTGGGTGGTTGGTGGGTGTTCTGGTATGGTTTGTTTCTTCTTCCCTATCAAACATCTTTCGTCTTTATCTCTCGTCCATCTTTCATGTGTCTGTTACTCTCTCTCTAATCTTTCGCACTTATATGACCTTTTATATTGTCATGTCATACAAGTACCGTAAAACTCTCATTAAAACTAAATTGACATGTGAGTTAACACATTCAAATACACGCACGTATAAGTCCATCACACTTTACTTAAACTGGTGGTCATTCGTATGTATACAAAAAGAGCTTAAGACTACTATCATGCCTCTTAGTTACCTGTAACGATGAAAGTGGCGTTGATTCTCTCGGCATATTTGCAGATGGCATGACCTGGACTGCGATCCTCCAGGGCAACGAATTCTCCATTCATCTGCACGGGAGGAGAAAGAAAAACCACGAGATTACTTATCTTGACCATTTGTTTTAGAAGGAAATGTGTGTGTGTGTGTGTGTGTGTGTGTGTGTGTGTGTGTGTGTGTGTGTGATTGTGTGTGTGATTGTGTGTGTGTGTGTGTTTGTATGTATGTACGTACATGTGTGTGTGTGTGTGAGCGCGCGCACAC